CACCTGCAACCCAATTAAATACCCTTCTGGTGGCATTTTTGATTACTTATGTGATAACTCCCCCACTGCAGTGTAATCACGCTGAATCCCACTGAGCCTTGCTCAGAATAGCCGTAATTGGTGGTTTTATCCAGATCAATAAAGACAGCTTCTACATATTGATTATCATCCAGGGTATAAAATCATCATCGGTTACCTGGAAAAGAGAAGCTGCTGCCAAAGAAAAAGGTCAGATATTCCATTTGAACATGGGAGGCAGGGGGGAGGGGGTTGGGCAGAATCAGTGAATTTTAAGGTAATAGTATCAAATTGCCTGAAAGTGCACACAGTATATTCTTGTAATTTGCAACAACGGAAAGTAAAGAAGTAGGTCAATCATTTAAGTGAGTCTTGAAGCCTTCTCTAGGTGATGCAAGGAACTAACATTAGCTCTCCTAGATGGCCTGAAAGCTACCCAGAAAGAGGCTTAGTGCTCAATGCCTGCTGGATTTTTCAGACCCCACTGACACATTGTTTCTATGAGAGACATGGTTTGGCCTGACTCTGCATGTTCAATTTGTGCAAGGACCACAGGGAGGTTCAATAAGTGGGACATAGAATTGTGGGCCAGGGAGTGGGTCAAGAGGCATGTCTCACTGAAAACTGAATGGACAGGAAGGCGGGGAATCTAGCGCCAGTGTTGGGGGAGGTTTTCTACAGCTCTCTCAATCTCTGAACTGGCACAGTCTTTGTGTGTTGCACTTCTGTGCTGCCCCAGAAGAAAGAATTAGGAGGAATGGATAGAAGATACAGTAGCAGATTTTGGTTCCAGGAAAGAATAACGAATAGGCTTGACAATTTGCACTCTGTGAAAGTAGATTGGGTTTCTTCACAAAATGGCAGACTTCCCTTCATTGGAAGTCTTCAAGCAGTTGGATGACCATGTGTTAGGAATATTGTAAATGGCATTTCTGTTTAGGCAGGGATTGAGAAGCATGATAGAGTGTTTGGAGATCAAGCCATGGAACTAGAATGCCCCAAGTTCAAATCCTTCCAAGGACAAATCCTGCCAAGAACATACTGGTTGTTTGGTCCCGGGCAAAGCACTTAGTCTCTTAACCACTTAACTCTCCAAGACCGGAAGTTATAGAAAAGCCCCAAATTGCACTGTTAGAGGGAATTTCCTTACCTAAAGTTTCCTGCCACTGATGAAAACACATCTGAAAAAAAGATGAATTGGATTAGATGATCTCCAAGATCCCTTCCAATGTGTGAATTATTTAGTCTTAGAGACATAATAGTAATAATATTAGGCAGCATTTATATAATGCTTTAAAGTATGCCAAGCCCCTTTATATATGCTGCCTGATTTACTTCTTACAACAATCCTATGAGGTAGGTACAGTTATAATCCCCATTTTACAGATGAGGAAAGTAAGGCACAGAGAAGTTAAATGAGTACTGAACTCAGGTCTTGATTCCAGGTTCTGTGCGCCACCCACCTCTGTTACCTTGATGATCCGTCTAAATCCAACTCCCCTCCCGCTGCCCCCTTCCTATATTTTATAAGGTGAGGAAGCTGAAGTGCACAGAAGAGCACCCACTCAAGTGGCATATAATAATGCTTCTAGCTTTTATATAAGGAATACAAACAAATATGATTTTATAAAGAGGAAGCAGTCTGCCATAACAGATTGCTGTTTGACCTTCGTTCTTGAAGAGGACCAATGACATCAGGAGGGTGGTGTCATGACTTACAAGTGAATTGGATTTAAGTGAAGCAGAGCAGTGCAAAGTCACTGGCCTAACTCTCTCCTCCAGAGTCATCAGAGTCCAGTGACAAGACATAGGTCAGGACAACTGGTAATGGCCTTAGATGCAATGGGAAACCTTGGCCTTTTTAAGCTAAGGTCATTCCCAGGTCTCAGTGTGTCTGAGGCAACAGCCATTTATTAATTAAAGACTAGGTAAGAATTAAGACAAAAGATGGCCTCATTTGCCTTCACAAAAGAATCAGTCTGGGAAGGGAAGACCCTCAGAGTTTCTGGCCAGAACTAGCATTGTTTTGTTTTTTCAAAAACTGGGACAATTAACTCTTTTGTCTCATGTAGTTTTCATCTATAATTTCTTGAAGTATAGCTCTGAAAAAGCAGGCTTTGATAAAACCCATTGGGATTCAAATGGAGCTACTCTACTATGCCTTTAAACCCAAACCACTCTGGCTCTCACTGATTGGCTAGTAATAGGTCCCAGCCCAGGCCTCACTTGCTCATTGTTTGGGTTTTGATGGCTCAGAGGGAATGCCTGCCATAACAGAAAGAGGTGAAGGCCTGGGATTTCTTCTAGTTTCTCTCGCCAAATGTATGAACTTAGACAAGCTCATCTCTCTGGATTTCAGTGTCCTTGTAATAATGTCAGCTTATACCTATATAGTAATTTATAGTTACAAAGTACCTTATTTACATTTTCTCATCTGATCCTCTCAATAGCCCGCCCGAGATGGACGTGAAAGGTATTATTCTCATTTTATTGATGAGGAAATTGAGGTGAAAAAGTTTAGGTACTTGGGCAACATCACTGAGCAAGCCTCAGTTGTGAATAGTTTTCTGCCTCCAAATCCAATATTCTTTATTAGTACCTATCTTGTGAGGATCAAATGAGATAATATTTGTGAAACACTTAGCACAGTGCCTGGCACATAGTAGGTGCTTAATAAATGCTTGTGCCCTTCCTCTTTCCCCTTTTTCTTTCCATTATCCCACACTACATCTTTCTCCATAAACTTAAGCATTTGGACTAGATAATCCCTAAAGTCTCTTCCAATTCTGAATTTCTATGAAACAACGAGAAAATTTCGCTGAATTAGATACTCTCTTATTTGCACAAATAAAAAAAAATATAATTCCACTGAGTATACAAGGTGGGGTTTTTGTGAGGTTGTTAATATAAAATATTGAGATCAATTTCCACAAGGTATATGTTTAGTGGAAAGAGGACTGGCTGCTGAACAAGGAGTCAGATTCAAATCCTGGTTCTGACACTTAACAACTGTTTTATTATTGTTCAGTTGTTTAAATCATGTCTGACTCTTTGTGACCCCATTTGAGGTCTTTGTGGCAAAGGTACTGGAGTGGTTTGCCATTTCCTTTTCCAGCTCATTTTATAGATGAGGAAACTGAGTCAAATAAGGTTAAGTGTCTTGACCAAGGGTCACAAAGCTAGAAAGTGTCTGAGTCCAGATTTGAATTCAGAGTTTTCTTGCCTTTAGGCCTACCTATCCACTGTGCAACCTAGCTGACCAGGTTCAAATCCTACTTCTGCTAACATCTGTGTGACCTTGGAGACATTATCTAACTTCTCTGAATGTGTTGTCCCCTCTGATAGTGGGAACGAAGATACTTTTACTGTCCAATTAACAGTGTTGTTCAGAAGAAAGCACTTCTTGTCAACAGTACAGTACTATGTAAATGTAACTTTTTGAATTTCCCCCTCTTTCTTCAATATCCCCTCCTTTTCCTCCCTATAAAAGCTGGAAGTAGCAGAGGTTTTGCTCAAGATGCTCTAAATTCATCCCCAATTTCCCTTAGAAATCTCATTATAAATCTAGTAGCCGCAAATTTGGTTACACTCTTCTGGAATATGTGGGTGTTTTTAGTCTGTAAATATGTAAGGAGACCAAAAAGGGACTCATTTTAACCCCAGACTCTGGCCGTGGATAGATGTGATGGAACTCTTTGGTCACAACACAACTGTCTATAGCAGGAAGCATGTAGGTTAAGCAAAAGGAAAAAAATTTTCCTACCGTGAGGGTTATACAACACTGGAAAGAGTGACGGAAAAGGGCTCTGTAAACCACTTCCCTGGAAGGCCTTAAAAATAATGTAAATTCTCAGCTGTCTGGTCTGGTTTCCTTGTAGTTCATCTCAGAGCAGAAGACTGGGCCAGTTGGCCTCTTAAAGAGCCTTCCTCTTCTCTGCTTCCATGGATTTATGAAAAGCTGACTGAAGTGGCAGTCCTAAGAGCACAAAGACTCTATATGTGCCACTCTCATTAGTATTAACTTAGCTGCACGTAGAACCTATTTTGAATGCTTTAACAAGTGAAACAGAGGGTACCCATGTACATGTACATCTAAAAATGGGCCTAAGAATGCCGGCACACCTATCTCAGAGAGTCATGAGGAATACCTGTGGTAAACCTTGAAGCAATAGAAACATAAGCTATTGTTAGTTTTGTTAGTTTTGCTAGCCCCAACATTCACTATGGCTGAAATCATGTAGTACAAAGGAAAAGTCACTGGACTGGGGATCAGAAAACTTAGTACTAGACCCCAGCTCTTCCATTTACTCCCAGTGTCATCCCTCAACCTCTGCGAACCTCAGTTTCCTCCTTTGTGAAAAGAAGAAGTTGTGCTATATGACCTCTGCGTTCCTTTCCAACTCTAAATCTGTGATCCAATTGGGCCTCCGTTTTCTCTTCTGTAAAATGAGGGAGCGCTTTGCTTCATGGCCACATATAGCTCTAAAGCTATGATCCCATGTTACTGTCACCTCCCATAGGAAGAAGAGAAGCTCACTCTTAGGGACAGCCAGACTTTCTCAGAAGCATTCTTGCACATGATTTGTGCTAATATACCGTGCAGAGCAGCATGTGGGGAGAGTCATGGTACTGTACAGATAGGAAACAGATGTAGGAAGACATCGTATGTGACTTTATACCAGTTTTGGAGATAAATCTGTAATGGAGATCAATGGCAGCTCTCTCACTAATGATAAGCAGATTGGAATCTAGGAAAACAGAGGCTGAGATAGAATTCTAATTCCACCCCAGCTCCTGTTTGCTGTAAAATCCACGTTGTTGGTTTAGGATTCCCTGCCAGGTCAAGTCTGTTGACTGCCATCTTCTCTTTTGGGGGAGAGTTTAACTTTGGCTTACTAGATTTAATTTACCTTAATCGTTACACTTACTGTTTTGAGCAAGCACCCAGGGTCTTTTGTTTAATGAGTAATGAACGCGTTTTTATACATTAGAAGAGTAAATAATAAACATCACTGTGATTAGCAGTGGAAAGCTAATTCAATAGGAATGAGGGGTATCCCTCCAACAACCTTCACCACCTCCTTCAAAGCCAAAATTTATTGCATTAGTCCTGGTTTGGGAATTTCAACGAACCTAGAAGAGAATGCTCAGGGAAGGGGTGAACCTGTTTGGAAATGGTTGCTAAGCATCCGAATAGTAAATCTTCCGAAGTAGAATGTACCTGAGGGATGACTGACATTCAGAACTGAAAGAGACAAGGACACATAGAGGACATTTAGTTGATTATAGGGCAGTGTCATATAATCTACAGTCCCTAAGAAAAATTTCTAAGCTCCTTTTACTTTAGACAAACTTTTATCATGCATTATTATACACCAAGCATTATAGTAGCCATTGGAGATATGAGGAAAAATCAGTCCCTGACTTCAAGAGGCTTATGGTATACTTTTGTAGTATAAAATACACATCCTCTATGACATATATTACTCTGCTCAGCTTAGGCTTCCCCCCTTTTTTTTTTTGTCATGGACCTGTGATTGCAGCAATCCAGAGAACACATGCTATAGAAACTCCATCCACTAAAGCTTGTTTGTAACTTGTTGCCTTAGAGTTATCTGGGGCCACTGAGAGGTTAAGTGATTTGCTGAAGGTCACATAGCTAATATGTATAGAAGTGGTAGGATTTGAACACAAGTCTTGCTGAGTCCAAGGCTAGCCATCTATCTACTAACCAGGTCATTGTACCTCTTTTGTTTAGGGTATAGCTTCAGTAAATGTTCGCGAAGAATATGAATCATGTATAAAATACATTGGCCTTTTGTCATCCATACCAATCAAATGAACTCCTCTAATAAAAGATGCCTACCTTATATATAATACCGTACTGACAAAATGTTTTAATTGCTTTTGCTCTTTTAATGATTGTGACTGAATCCAGAAGAAAAAAAATGGCAGATCTGGGGAGAATCAGGTGCAAATAATTCAATGCTCCACTAGATTATAAACTCCTTCTTTTTGACTTTGACGTTTTACCCTCAACAAGTAAATTAGTAACTTTTACATAGATGGTGCTTAATAAATGCTTATTGAATGAATGAATGAATGATTCAATTCAACAAACATTTATCAAGTGCTTAGTATGGTACCATCTTGGGAATACAAAGACAAAAATGAAAAACAATTCCTACCCTCAATAAGCTTGTATTCTATGGGAGTCGGTTTCTACCCAAAGTAACTCTAGTCCCCACTAAGTACTCTGACACAGCATCAATCATCAAAAGTAACTTCATCTTCAATAAGCATTTGTTAAACACCTTGGTGCTGGACAAAATGACATTCAGTTCCGGCCCTCTTGAGCTTGCATCTAGCAGGAGCCTAAGAAACCAGTGAGCTGATTATGATTCAATGTATAGCAGAAGGAAGAAGCAGATGGCACTGGCTCTTGCCTAGACTGGGTAAGAAAAGATCATAAGGGCCTCATCTAGTTTAAATTATGAAACTAATAAGAGAGCTCAGGGAACCTGTCCCTCACTGACAGGCTCTTCGATGAAAAGCAAGAGTTAAGATGAAGAAGGGGATTTGGGAAGAATTGGCTTAAATAATTAATATACCAAGGCACTGAACTGAGTGGCAGTGTTTGCAACCAAGGCAGAGTTCAGGTAAGTAGGATATGACTGTGGAAGGTTGGCCTCAGGCAATAGTATATTTCATAGAATTACAAAATATTAGAGCTAGAAGAGATCTTAGAGATTGCCTAGTCAGAATCACAGTCTCATAGAATTTCAGAGTTGGAAGGGACCTCAGAAGGTACCTAGTACAACCAGTATCAAAATAGGAATTGCCTTGACAATATCCCTGACAAGGGATTTGTTTATAGACTCCCAGTGGAAAGGAATCCATTACCTCTTGAGCCAGCTTGTTTCATTTCTCACCACTTATAATTACTGTTAACTTAGTCTTCACATTAAACCCAAATCTGCCTCTCTAAACTTACAACCATTCTTTTTTAAGTTTATCTCCTGGAATCAAACAAAACAAGTTTATTTCCTCTTATAGATGGAGGCTCTTCAAATTTTTAGAAGTCACAATCAGGTCCTTTGTAAAGTTTTCCCTTATTAAGGCCAAACTTCCCCCAGTCCTTTCATATAGCATGGTTCCTAGTCCCTTCATCACCTTGGTTGGCCTCATTTGGGCATGTTCCAATTGTTATCCTCCCTAAAATAAGGCATGCAAAAGTGGACACAATGTTCCATATCTAGGATGGCTAGAACAAATTTCCATGGGGACTTTCACATCCTTTGCTCTGGACACTGTGATTATCTTAATATAACAGAAATTTACTTTGACATTTTTTTGGTTATGATGTTAGTATTGATTTATATCAAACTAACTGTCAACTTAAACTTCCAGGTGCTTTTCTAGCCATGTTTTCTCTATCTTGCTTTTGTGCAGTTGACTTTTTAACCAAACTATAAGACTGAATATGAATTATTATTAACATTTATTAACATTAAATATTATTATTATCATTTGTCCTATTATACATGGACCAACATTCTAGCCTATTAAGATATTTTCAGATCCTGCCTTTGTCATTCTGGTATCTTATAAGTTAGCCATGCCTCTCACCTTTGTATCATTTGAAGATTTAATAAGTAGGATGTGTAGGCCTTCACACATATCATGGATGAAAATAGTGACCAGAACAGGGTCATGGACAGATTCCTCTGGTACTCTACTAGACACTTGCTTCCAAGTTGATGCTGACCCATTAATGACAACTCTTTGGGTCCATCCATTCAACGTATTCTGAATTCACATAACTATACTATTTTCTAGCCCATTTTTTCCATCTTTTCAATGAAGATACCATTACAGACTTTGTCAAATATTTTGCTCATATGTGATGTCAATAGGATTTTCCCTATATACAAATATCATAATTCAGTCAAAAATGGAAATGATGCAAGTTTTCCATTCTTAGTGGTCAGACTCTGTGCCTTTAAACATACTACCTAGAATTTTTTTTCCCAGAAATTGAACTTAGGGACTCTGACCATATTTTGTAGGCTATCATCTTTCCCTTTTTGAAAATCAGGACATTTGCCCATTTCCAATACTGTGTCACTTCCTTTGTTCTCTGTTATTTTTGTTAAGAAAAAAAAATTAAGCCTTTTGTCTTTTCAATAATTTTAACACCCCAATCCCTCCAAAATTAAACTCTCCTGTGGCAAAGAAAAACAATTAAAGAAAAAAAAACTTCTGATATAGTGATCACATCTGACAATTTATGTCCTGGAAGTCTCCCATTTCTCTTTTGTGAGGGAAGGATGTATACTTCATGATCTTTTCTCTAAGACATCCATTTGATTTCTAATTATTCAGAGTTCACCTTCCATTTAGTGAACTTTTCATTTACATGATTATATTTCTTAGATCTTTTGGTTATGTTTATTTCATTTGCATTAATTCACATAAATCTCATGTTTTTCCTGAATTACTCATTCATAAGTTCTTTTAGTGTTTTATAGTACTTCTTATAGAGCTTTAGCACTCCTGATAGAATTATTACAGGACCATGCCACTTGTTTCTATCCTCTGTGATCTTTGTTCCCATAGTTCACATTTTTTTCAATACCTGTTTTTTTGTAAGTTCTCTGAGCATCTACATATTTTTTTCCATTCAGATAGCTCTTCATTCCCCCTATTATTATCATCTCTATTTGTATCATAATTTCATTCTTGGATTCTGTCCTTTCATTCCTCCTGAATGAATGTAGTAGAAACATTTATTAAGCACTTACTATGTGCCAAGCATAATGCTAAATACTGAAGGATACAAATATAAAACATGAGACAGACCCTCCTCTCAAGGTGCCTACGCTCTAATTGGAGGAGATAACTCATAAAAGAAAGCTCATCTGTAAGGAATAAGAAAGACTGGAAGTCCTAAGGGTGGGGTGGATGGTAAGGGCCAAAGGTCCCTAGATTACATAAGTAGGTCAAATGGCAGTGCCAGGGGATAGCAGGGCATAGAAGAAGAGTAGGTAATAAGGCCTAGAGAACCTTAGGAGGCAATAATAGGGCAGATGGAAAAGCCTCCATCTAATTGTAGGTGGTCCTCCATCTAATTGGAAAGAATGGAATCATTGCAAACATCTCATGCATGCCATGTGAACAGTCCCAAGCAAACTGGACAAAGTAGGAAAGGAGAGGGGCAATAGTGGAGAATCTTCCCAATATCCAACAATCCCAGATGTGTTCTGTGACAACCAGTGTTGGGGGAAGGGGAATGCAAGGGGAAAATGATGCTCTCAGCCATGGCTGAATTCCCTTGTAGAATTTGAGGCTGTAGATCCTGCATCATCTGATGTTTCTCTGAACTCTTCTAAATCTTCTTTACCATAACCTAGCCTGTATGTCAGACTAAACTTAGATTTCCTACCTTCATCATCAACTCTGAAGAGGAATTGCCATGTCTTCCCAAGATTTCTGTCATTTCTGCTTCTCAATAATGATTTTCTTCTTGTTGGGTGGAAGCTGTTCCAAAATAGCAATATTACTTGTTGCTTCCTTCATCTATTAAAAGACAAAATTCTTATTAAGGTTAATAAAAAAAAATTGTCATTTAACTGTTCTACTTTTGACTGAGAGAGAGCAGGTATCTGTATGGCTGAAATTTCCCATCATTATGTTACTATACTTCTGGACCAGGTTTCTGATCTGTTTACCAGTCCTCATTGATTTTTTTCTTTCACTTCAGGTGGTCTATGGTATACTCCAATACCAATATCACTTCTGTTTCTGCTTCCATTTCTCCTTTTCCTGATTCTCTCCTGCATGCTTCTCTTTCGTAAATAGATTTCCTCATATGAGGATACTTTTGTAATACATAAGACTATTCTACTTCCCTTTTATTTACCTTTTGAGATATAACAATCCATTTATAGTCCAGTCATGAGTCCCATACAGTGAGTTTCACAGATACTTTTGACGTTGAATTTATCTCCTTGCTTTAAGATTCATGAAGATGACTAGTTCACTGTGTTTGTTTACTTTGTTCACCTCAATTTATGCACTTGTATATAGGCAACTGAGTTCACGGGCTTTATTGCTTCCTCCCTTTTTGCAAAACATCTTCTTTGAATTATTGGTCCACCCTGTTATGGTTCTTCCTCTGTTCCATCTCACATTCTCTGTGGTATCTGTCTTGGCAGATGCCCTGAGAGATTTTCTCCATCCCTCTTTTTTTTGCTTTAAAACTCTCTTGATTGGATTTTTAGAACTCCAGAGAAATGTATATATTTATACAATGTTATTAGATGTAGACCATCCCTGGCCAAGATCCTATCATTTGCGTATTTTAAGCCATGATTGAGAAATATAAATCTGTTCTCAGATACGATTTTTTTAAAAAATCACTTCAAATCATTTTTCAAATCTTTTACCTTTAATCAGAAACAATTATGAAAACAATACCTCTGTGCCCAAGGTCATCATTTTCATTCCTAACACTTCATGATTCAGGTTCTATCTGGATTCCTTCTAGTGTTAACCTTTCTCCCCACAGGAACCACCAAGAGTAAAAAGTGTTAAATAGGTTTCACAAGTCTCAGGATGTTCTCCATAATGTCCTGGAGAGTTACCCTGGGAAAAGTGTAAAACTCTGTATTAGTCATTCTAGGGCTAAAAAGGGCTGCCTCAGTATACCTCAATACTACTTATCTCTTCTGCTTTTGACCAATAATACATCAGCTCTTTTCTGTGACACCTGTAAATTCACATAAATATTCACAAGAGTACAAGAAACTGCTTTTTCCTCAAATAGGTCCAGCTCACCTACCATACCTATCACATAGTTCCAAATGTTCAGAAATTTTCCCTTTACCCTTTATTCTGTAAATCATGTTCTCTTGTCTTCCATCTTTTTTTGGAAAACATAGTTTAGAATTTTCATGCCCTTCTTTGTAGCTTAAGATTGTTTTTTTCTAGTCTCTTTTTCAAAACAGATTTGGTAGAAAGTAGGGAATTAGTAGGGAGATTGAAATATGTTCTTTGTGGACCTAGCTATTTATTACCATCAAAAATTAACATACAACGTATTCTCTACAGGTTACTTTAAAAATTCTACTGTCTTCCATGCTTGCTGGAAACAAGATCCTCAGTTCTCATTCATGCTTATTCGTAGCTCTAGTATCTAACGCCCATTGTGAACTGCAATGAAAAAAATGTCTTTTTGCTGTTCATACTAGGAAACTCGTCAATCACTCAATCAATCAGTCAGCAAGTATTAAGTACTTTTTATGTTCAGACACTTTGCTAAGTGCTGAGGATACAAAGATAGAAAAGCAAAAACAAAAAAGAAAACTCACTGCCTTCAAGGAGCTTGCAATCTAATCCACTAAATACTTTTTATCTTTATTTCTAATATGCTTCCTTTTGGGGGGGGCAATTTGAGCTTGCTTATTTAGCTATCTTTTGTATTCTTATGAAAGGGCCAATGCAAATGGAAGCTGCCCTCTGCTGTTGTCTATTATAGGGTCTCAAGAAAAATCTAATTACTAGCTGCTCCTTTTCTTCTTTCTTTTTTCTTCTCCCCCCAACTGAATAGATAACGTATATATCTTCCTTTTACATCACTCCCCTTTTTTACCTCATCATTTTTCAGACCTAGAATCTGAGTCCTGGTTTTACCCAACATAGTTAATAGTAGGACCAAGAATAAAAAGCACGGTTTCCCTGTGTCTGTCCATTGTCCTGCCACTTTGTAATGCTGACTTTCCAATCCTTTTTTTTGTTAGGCTCCCAAAAGTGACTCTTTTCTTTTAACATCTCAAATGCTCTTGACATTATTCTACACTGTCTCCTTTATTCCTCTTTCTGATGGAGACATGGCCCTCCTCCTTACTAATGTCAACCCTAATGCATGTACCTTTGATCCCATCCCCTGCTATCTCTTCTGGAAGATTCTTTCTACAGTAATTTACCTGCCCCAACTCCCAACAAATCTTCAGTCTTTGTCTATTGGTTCCTTCCTTGCTACTTACAAACATGCTAGCCTCCTCCAACCTTAAACCCCTCCCCCCAAAAAACCTTACTAGTCACTGCTTTTCTCCCCAGCTATTTTTACTATATCTTTCCTCCTGCTAATCTCCTATGTTGTCTTAGTCTAGAAAAATGTCTTACCCTGACCTTTTGTCAGCTCTGCCCACTCCAAAATTTGATTTGAATTGTTATTTTAAAGTTGTTTGGAAGGGAATGTTGGGAGAGTTCTCCTGTGTTGTTGCCTCTATTCTGCCATCTTGGCTCTGCCCTTAGGAAGTTTGCTTTTTAATGAAGAAGACAAAATATATAAATCTATACATGTCCTGCCCTTGCTTATCTAGAATTCAGCATCCGTTGTTATTATTGTTTTGCTGAATTTGAATAAAGAGTTCCTCTGCCATTGCACCTGTAGGGCCAAGGGCCCCTCACTTTGGAAATTGTGTGTTTACTGGAGAGAGCCTGGAGCTTCCCAGGGAGATAGCTCTTCATTCACTCTACAGCAGGTTTTTCTTAACCTTTTTTATGGCATGGGGCTGTCTTCAGGTCTGGTGAAGCCTGTAGACCCCTTCTCAGAATCATGTTTTAAGTGTGTAAATAAAATGCATAGGATACAAAGGATATCAATTCTATTCCAACATAGTTTTGCCTTTTTTTTTTTAAGTTTTCAGACCCTAGGATAAGAATTACTGCTCTAACTTCCTACTTTGTAGATAATAGAACCTAACACAGATTCCTAGATTATCTGGACTTTCACAACAGATAATAATAGTTAATACATAGCACTTACTATGTGCCAGGAACTACGCAGGGTGTTTTACAATTATTGTCATTTGTTACTCACAACAGCACTGGTGGGTAGGTGCTAGTATTATCCCTATCTTACAGATGAGGAAAATGTAGCAAACAGAGTTTAAGTGACTTCCCCCAGGGTCACACAGCTAGTGAGTATCTGAGGCCATATTTGAACTCAGGGCTTCCTGACTCCTATCCCCAAGTTGTATCCACCATGCTACCCGGCTGCCTCCAAATCTTACCCAGTCCTGGTTAACCTGGATGAGCTATACTTTCACTCTCTGATAAACTCTTAACAAGTGTTTTATGAATTCATAAAATTCACAAGATCTGCAAGACACATTATGGATCAAGTCCACCATGATCATTTTATAAATAAGAAAACGGAAGCTTAGAAAGTAGAAGAGGCTGCCCTAAAATCACATAAGGAATAAGCTAGCATGTCAGCTCCTTGAGGGCACAAATGTTTTGCTTTTGTCTTCATATACCCAGCGCTAAAGCCTGGCATACAGTAAGCATTTAATTAATGCTTATAAATTGATCGGTTGATTGAAGTACAAGACCTAGCTTTCAAACTGAGTTCTTTAACTTGAGGTCCAGTGCCCTATACAATGCACCACATTACCTTATAATTAAATTCAATTCTTAAGATCAGAGATTCATTGCTCTAGAGATAGAAGAAACCTCACAGCTACAAAGTAGTCCAATCCTTTCATTTTAATATTATGGAAACTGGGGCCCAGGGAGTTTGTGATTTGTCCAAGATCACGTGGGCAGTAAATGTCACTGGTGAGAGATGAATGCAGCATCACTGACTATAGGTGCAGCACATTCTACAATGTACCATACTTACTTCCAATTCAATTCAATACATTTTTCAGTTGTCTTTCAGATGTTTGGAACTGCGTAGGGGCCAGCTCAGTTCTGCAAGTTCAATTGTCCTGGATTTTCAAAGAGATAAATTCCAGTTCAGATGTGACAGGTCACCTGTGTCCTTGGCTGACACATAGCCTCAACAGGGAGAGGGCACAATCATCAGCATAGCCATTTCTAAAATCCTGTCTTCCACTTTGTAAATCACTTTGGGATTCTTCTTACTCTTTGCCTCTGTTCTGAAGAGTTTTGATTTCAAGAAATAAGTCTGTACTATTTGTATGAGAAGGAAAAATCAATAGAAAGAGAAAGTTTAATAAAAAAAATACATTTTCCATTAACTTTAATTAACTTGGCCTTAGGTTTACAACTCTGGCAAATGTGGTGAATGAAAAAAAATCACTCATGTACCAGGCAGGTTTTCACAAGTCCTCACTGTTAAGTATAAAATATCAAATTGAAATTTGTATGTATAAGCTATTTGTTTCACTGTTAACACAGGATGAGGAAAAACTGCAAAACCAAGGCCAAATCCAAGGTCCCTTAGAGTGTCAGGGAACAGAGCAGCACTTCAAACCCTCTTGGTAGGTCTGTCTGTAGACCATCAAAGTCAGGTGAATTGATTTATTGATATAATGGAAAAAAATTTGCTGTTTTCCTAGGTTCAGATCAGCTCAGCTTTTGTGTGTGTGTGTGTGTGTGTGTGTGTGTGTGTGTGTGTGTGTGTGTGCGTGTGTGTGCCTTCTTCAGAATCTCAGCTTGGAACAAGCACATAGCCCTTCAGTCCTGCCTGTATTTGTTTACATCAGCACTTCTGTTTTATGGTTATAGTGCGCTGTTCTGTACAGGAAAACCCAGATGTCAATATATCAACTAGACAGAAGAAAATTACGTGGGTACGTTCCTATAACACAGTGAAAGAGACAGAGTGAGTAGCACAATACATGTGCCTTTATGAGATTTTCATAACATCTTAAAAGTAAGCATGTTTTCAGATATTTATGCATGAATGTATACACACGCATATGTTTGGATAAGTGTAAGATGCAAACATAACTCTACATGTGTAACCAAAGAAAGTGAGCCATGGAAGTAAATATGACAGGAGAATTGCATGTTGATATAGAGGTACCTGTTCATTTCTATGTATATGTGTATATGCCTGTTTGCACACAAGTGTAAGCAATATGTAAATGTTTATGCATATGTTAATTCATATATAGAACTATTGCATGCATATTTGTACTGTACATGCATATATTTGTACACACATGTATTTGCAAGTTTTCAGTGGATATGGGCATGTATGTTAACATATAGGAAAACAGAAATATATATATATATATATATATATTATATGATTGTGTCAGTCAAAAAGTATTTATTGAGCATTCATTATGTGCCAGGCCCTGTGCTAAGTGCTATGGTCTATAAAAAATGTGTGCAGTATATGCATACTTATGCACACATGCATGCTTATGTGTTGGTGCTGGTGTATGCTTGTTTGCATGTTTCTGTATATATGTAATTTTGTACATGAATACATATGAGTGCATGCACATGTATATTCATGCTTTGGATCTTGGAGATTATTGTGAACTGAGTAATTTCTTAGCTATTCCAGCTTAGGAATGTAATTGCCTGTGTCTGAGGAATTTTATTGTAACAGAAGACTGAAGCTGCTCAGGATGACCATCCAGCTGAGGCTGCAGATTGCCTTGTGGATTCAGAGGACTCTGTCCCTCAGTCAGTTCTCTGGCCGAAATGGAGCTTCATCCAGAATCAAAGATGGCAGATTGACATAGTTTTCTATGAAAACTGATAACAAAACACCACAGAATTCCAGTACTTAAAGCACTGCATAGAGTTGAGGGAAAGCTTGAGAGACGTGATGTCTTTTATGACTCATAACCAATAATGTGACTACCTTCTTCTTGTGAAGCTGTCCTCGGGGCAGTTCCTCAGAAGGAGGGCATGGTTTTACATGAGAAGATGTGGCCTCCAAAGGAAAAATGTATAGAATTACAGAAAATCAATTGAAAATACAAAATATATTTTGTCTTCTGAGAATAAATAAAAGAAAAAGAATTGTACTTGTCTTTTGGATCCCTTTGGCTGTTTCTGTTTGGAATCCTATGTATTTTTATGAAAATATTACTGAGAAAGTCAAATCCAACTCTGAGTTTCTGACAGCCAGAATTGGAAAGGTGTCATACACATGGAGACTCAGAAAATCCCTTTGATGATCCTCAGGCTTGTCAGAGAGACGAGGGCTTCCTCTTTGGCTTTTCCACATTCTTATGATAACCAGGAGTCATCATGGATTCAATAAGATTAAGTCACACCAAATTAACCTCCTAAGTTTACATAAGATTAGTAGCTTGGTAGATCACAGGAATGCAACAGACATAGTGTTTCTTGATTTCAATAAATCATATGACAAAGTTTTTCTGACATGCTTATGGAGAAAATGGTGAAATGCAGACTGAGATAATTATGCCAGATGACAATCATTGAACAGCCATACCCAATGAGAGCTAATTAGTGATTCTTTTGTCAATTTGGAGCAAGGTGTCCAATGAAGTGGCATGGGGCCAGTGGTAACCTTTGCACTCTCCTGTTTAATATTTTTAATCAATGAGCTAAATGGAAAAATGGAACGTGTGCTTATCAAATTTACCAATGACAAAAATGTAGAAGAGATTTATTATACCATATTTTACAGAAGTAAGATACAAAATGATTTTTCCAGGCTAAAATCCTGGATCAAAAATAAGAAGAAAAAAATCCAACAGGAAAATATATAAAGTTTTTCATTTAGTTTATAGAAATTAATTGCTCAGGTGGAGGACTGGAGAGAAGTTCAAAGCAAAAGACTGAGGAATGCTAGAGAACTGTAAGGTTGATTTGAAGTAATATGACAACCTCAAAAGGCCAATTCATTCTTAGGTGAAGCACAATGTCTATAATAAGGAAAATGACAACCACACTGTTCTTTAATCTGCAGCCAGAGTATTGTGTCATGTTCTGGGGGATACATTTTAGGAGGGACAGCAGTGAAGAGAGGTATGTCTACAAGTAGTTGAGAAGGATGGTGAAAGGATCAGAAAACATTATATCAGGATCAGTTGAACAAACTAGTGATGTTTAGTTTAGAGACGAATAGAATTAAGGTATACCTGATAGCTGTCTTCAAATATTTGAAGGGTTGTCATGTGACAGAGAAACTCAGTTTATTCTGCAAGGCTCCAGAGGGAAAAAACAAAGACCCAAAGATGAAAGCTAAAAAAGAAGCTAGTTTATGTTCAATAAAAGAAAGAACTCTCTAAAATAGGGAGGGAGCATATTGTATGGTGGAGAGAACACCAGAGAGTCAAAAGATCTGGATTCTAGTTCTGTGTCTTCTACTTATTAGCCTGGTGACTTTGGGAAGGCTGCTTAAACATGTGGTTCCATTACCTGTAAAGTGAGCACAAAAATGTTTGCTGATCTACTGTCTGGGGGGTCTGTAAGGAAAATGAATTGTCAATTGTATATATGACCTATGGTTTTAACAAAGAAGTTTTTAAATGAAATAGGTAGCTTAATGAGGTACTTAGTGACCAATAACTGAAAAGAGTTAATGCAGAAGATGGATGACCTCTTGCTAGGGATGTTATGGAAAGGAAGGGGGTTAGGTTAAATTGAGTTTCAGCTCTCTGATGTTATGACTATATGCTGGACATGTTTATCATACTGAAGTGATGATGAAGAGGAATCATAATAGCATAACATATTTAAAATTTTTAAGTGTCAAATGGAAGAAGATATTGCCTTATTCTTTGGTATTAGAGAAGGCTGGAAAGGAACTAATGAATGGTGTTAGAGACTTATGACTGGAATGAGGTTTCTGAGGAATAGAGATGTAAAATGTTAGGGCACATCCAACATCTGCCAAGTGGTCTGATTTGACTGGAGCATAGTGTAGGTAAAGGGGAATAGTGAGAAGTAGAGAGCATAAACATAAATATCATAGTAAGAAGGATAGACAAGTAAGTTGGGAGAAAATTATAGAGTGCATTGAAAACAGTGAAAAAGTCTGGACTTTATTAGATATATAACGAGAGGTCAGTGGAGAATTTGTTCATATTCTGATAAAGGATTATAGGATCATAGGTTTAGAGCTGGAAGGGACCTTAGAGGTCATCAAGCCCCACTCCTTCATTTTGTAGGTAAGGAAAATGAGGCACAGAGAGATCAGGTGACTTGCCCAGGGTCACACAGCTAGTAAATGTCTGAAGCAAGATTCAAATTCAGGTCTTGACTTCAAATCTAGAGCTTTATCCACTATATCGGCTTGATGCTTTGGGGAGATTAATCTGGTAGTAGTATATAGGTTATATTCGAGGGGGTGAAGAATAGAATTAGGGAGAAAATCTAAGAGGCTATTGCAATAGTCCAGGCAAGAGGAATTAAAGGTCTGAGATACCATGGTGATTGTGTGAGTTAAGTAGCTGGGAGTGAAAGGAGGGTGCATGTATTGCAGAAGAGATGAGTGGTAAGACAGGAGATACTGAATATAATTCTAAAGTTTTGAGTCTTAGTGACTAGGGGAATAATGAAGCAAAAAAAAAAAGATCAAGAGGAAGAGAAGGATGAATGCCTTTTTGGGAAAGATGATAAGTTTAATTTTAGACTGGTTTAGTTCAAAATGATGATATGTGGAGACATTCAGTATGCAGCTGGAAATGGGAATTATTTGATGAGGAGAAAAAAGGGGAATTATCTAATGAGCTAGATGTGGGTATGCAAAGAAATTCATTAATTAGTATCCTCTGTTTGGCTTTTAAAGCACTTTGCAACCTCTCTTCTTGCTTTCTTCCCAATCTTCTTACACATTACTTCCCATACTCCATGATTCAGCTGTACTAGCCTAGCTGTTCTTTGCATGTGACACTCTATATTCAATTCCATGCTTTTTCACTGATTGTTCCCCAAACTTGGAATTCTCTCTCCCCTCACTTCTGCCTTCTGGTTTCCCTGTCTTCTTTTAAGACCCAATTCCAATCCCTTTTTCTGGAAGCGGCCT